TTGCTGTTCTGCTGTTTGTGGCTCCCTCTCCTGGGTTTGGATGAGCGAGGGAGGACCCACTTTAAACACCACCATCAAGTCTTAGCTTTTCTGGTTAGTGTTGCTAGCCCAGGGAATGGTAGTTATCTTCTAGCTTTTTTTGCCTGGAGGCTATTAGTAGAGGTCACCTGAAGCCCCTTGGTTTGTGAGTTGCCTGAAAAACTCCCTCAGGTGCTCAGTGTAAGAGGATTTCCCGAGGGTGGGGCATCTGGTGGTTGGTAATGGGCCTCAATTAACATTTCAATGTCCACCAGGTGGGGTTGAATCTCTGAGGGAGGGGCCTCCACCTCTCCCCAGGGCCCTGGGAAGGAGTAAAATGACCACAGGCCTGCGTGGCTGCGCTCAGCTAAAGCTCTTAGCACCCTCCAAAACCCGAGTGTCCCCACATAGTTCCAGTCTGCTGTCCCTCTGCCCCAGCCCAAGGTGAGTGGCTGCTGCCAATTTAGCCTCTGTCTAGACTCTGGGTCTTGGAGCCGCCTGGGAATTTTAACCCGAGGGCGCTGCTTCCAGCCAAGGGCGGCCACAGCTGTGGCACCAGCCGAGGGCTTTGCACTCAGCAGAAACCCCAGGACTGAGCCACGGTAGCGGGACACTGCCGAGGTGGCAGCAGCTTCCAGCAGTATCCCCTGGTCCCCGCGAGTCCGTGCGGCACCCGCCCAAGGCTTAGCAGGCAGCAGAGTTCGCAGGACTCAGGCGGGGTCGCAGCTTCCCGCTGAGCCCTCTGGTCCCAGCCCAGGCCGCTGTGGACCGGACTGTGGGCTCCCGGCCACCTCTCCCGTCCTCGCAAGCCTACCAGGATTGAGTTGGTGTCCCTGGTTATGTGGTCCTCCAAGGTGTCTTTCGGTTGCCCCTTCCTGAAGATTTGCCTTTATTTTTGTTGTAAATCCAGTTTGGTCCTGGGAGATGGTCTGTGTAGCTCCATTCACTCCGCTGCCATTTCTGTTCTCTGTACAGTAATTTTAATTTTAATTGTAATACAGGGGTGTATAATTGACTCAGACAACCGAGCGTGCGCTGTATCATTTTCACTGTCTCGATCAACTTTTTAATGAATATATTTCAAAAAACTGCAACAGTGAAACTGCGACAGTCGAAGCGTGAAGTGGCAAGGGATGACTGTATTCCAAATCTATGGTATGCTTCTTGGCTTTACCTACTCTACTATTGATTCCCTGTAAATTATTCTTTATTTCAATTATTGCATCCTTCATTTCTGACTGGTCTTTTATGTTGCATCCTTCATTTCTGACTGGTCTTTTATGTTGTTGATGTTCTCATTAAGTTCCTTGGAGGTCTCCTTAAGTTCCTTGAAGATCTCACTAAGTTCCTTGAATGTGTCACTATGTTCCTTGAGCAACCTTATAACCATTGTTTTGAACTCTGCATCTGATTGATTGCTTATCTTCATTTTGTTTAGTTCTTTTCCTTGAGTTTTGTTCTTTTCTTTCATTTGGGACATGTTTCTTTGTCTCCTCATTTTGGCTGCTTTCCTATGATTGTTTCTATGTATTAGGTAGAGTTACTATGTCTCCTGGGCTTTGTAGGGTGGCCTATTGTTGTAGGTGTCCTGTAGGATCCTGTGGCACAACCTCCCTGATCACCCAGCTGGCCCCTTAAGGTGTTCCCCTCGTGTGGACTGTACACCCTTCTGTTGTAATTGAGTCTTGACTGCTGTTGGCATGTCAATGGGAGGGATTGACTAAGGCTGATCAGCTTCAAGTACTGGCTGTGCCCACTGACCACTGGCCTCTGACTACCTTGGAGGATGAGCTATGTAGGGGCCCAAAACACAGAGCAAGACTTACTTGCCAGGGTTCTGGTACCCAATGAGTCCACTCATTGAATGTGTCACTTGTGGAGGTGGTTGGGTGGTGGTGCTTCGTTGTGGTCTGAAGCTGTCCACTGTGTGTGCTGGCTCTGGAGCAAAGTCAGCCACAACCTGTGTTCTATCCGGGGCCACCTGGCATAAGCTACAAAATGATCTGCTGATGGCTGCTTCTTGTGCTGGGCGTGGAGGTGCCCAGGCAAAGCCAAATTGTGAACCAAGGCTAGCTGCTTCTAGTGCCAGGCCTGGGGCCACTTAAGGAGTGGTATGGGGCTTGCTGCGACCAGATGCTCCTTGTTTGAGAGAATTTAGGAAACTGAAGCAGGATCCTAGACAGGCCAATCCTATGGTAAAGCCTTTGGAAACAGCTTGGGTGGGCCTGAGAGTTGAATCGGGCAGGGCCTCAGGGAATCACCAGGGCGGGGCAAACAGTGTAAGCCAGGTTGCTGGAGTCCCAGATATGGCAGCTGTCTGCCTTCCCTGTGGGGCAAGTGCTCACCAAAGGAACAGCGGCTTCCACCAGCACATCTGTCCAGGAGAAAACTGCCTCTCCAGTCCTTGCCCTGACGCTAAACAACTCAGTTCTTCCCTGTATGTCTCTGGTGCATTTGAAACTGCCTCCCCTCTGTGCTGGGGCTCAGAGGGAGCAAGACTGAGTAAATCTGTGTGCAGGCCCTTTAAGAGGAGCTGCCTGGGGCTCCAGTAGCCTCAGCCTCCCTCAGCCTCAATTCCCGCTGTTTTTACAGCCAGAAGTTATGGGGACTTCTCTTTCTGGCCTGAGCTTGGCGCCTGGTGTGGGACAGGGACCCCCTCACTCCTCAGGGAGGACCTTTCCAGCCGAGGTGTCCCTCCTGATTTTTATCCTCCACATGTGGGTGTGGGACCAGCCCATCTGTACCTCTGCCCCTCCTACCAGTTTCTATGTGGCTTCTTTAATTTTGTAGTTGTAGGACTTCCATTCAGCTCAATTTCAGGTGGTTCTGAATGATGGTTGTTCTGTAGTTTAGTTGTAATTTTGATGTGGTTGTGGGAGGATGTGATACCACGTTTACCTACGCCGCCATCTTGACTGAAAGTCCTATGCTTTTGTTTTAAATGTGTCTTTTAGGTACATTTTGATTGGATTGATAGATTAAAAACATCCAATGTGAGAGTCTGAATTTTGATCAGGGAGTTTAACCCATTATATATTTACTAGAACTATTATATTAGGATTTTTGCCATCTTATTTAATGCTTTATACTTCTCATGTTTTCTCTCTGCTTCTTTTTTGCCCTTCCGATCCTTTATTGTGTAGATTGAATTTCTCTACTCATTTGAAAGTTATATATTCTCCTTGTGGTTACCTCTAACTTACTATGCCCCATACCTTCCCCCATCACTGTCTGTGTCTTAAGAGTCTCAGCACCATCCTGCCTCCTTCTGCTCTTCCCACCTCTGCTTGTTCCTTGGCAACTTAGTGGAGGGATGCAGCCGCGTCCAATTACCATCTTGTTAACAACTGGACAAGGCTTGTTCAGGCTGTCTTAGACGGGCTTCCAGTGCTCAGTGATAGTTTGATTTAAATGACCTTTTAAAAGGTCCCTGAATTTTTGAGCAAGTTCTGAGTGTGGTAGATTCCCAGGGGCATGTGAGAGGAAGTATGGACAAGTCCAGGAGCTCTCCAGTAGAGCTGGGAACCCCAGACCTGAAGTTCTGTTGTAGGCTGCCTTTCTGAAGCTTCTATTCTCTGCTTTTCTCTTAAGTGCTGTGTAGAATACTGTCCCATGACAAGCAGAAAAGAAATGAGAAGAGGGGGTCTTGGGGAGATGATGGAGAGGGCTGGGGACTAGGTTGAATAGGCATAGGCACACCCCATCCAAAGAGGCAGTCATTAACTCAATCCCACTAAGTCATTATCAGTAGGAATGTGATTCCAGCAGTGCCAGAGCTTCCAGTGTTTTCAAGAGAAGCCAGAAAATTCTATTTTCTATGTGAAATCTTTCAATTTGTATATATTGGCTCAAAAATGTTTATAATCCTATGTAGGCCAAACAGCGTGTATGCAGACTGGGTCTGGCCCAGACACTGCCACCTATGACCCCTCCTCTGGCTAGTCAATGATTCTGTCCTTGTCACTCTTAACATTTCTCCCTTCTGGATTATTATCCTCTAAAGGTGTGATTTCCTATATTCTTCCCCTCTCAGCCACCTCTTCTGGCGCCCTTTACCCTCCCGCCAGCTTAACTGGGCCAGTGCCATTCACATTACAGTGTGCTCTTTCTCACAGCCATCATTTTGTTAAGCACCTTAACCATCACCGTTGTTTGCATTAGTAGCTTTATCTAGTAAATGAGTAGTGTGAAGGTAAACTTGTTCCTGACCCATGAGTATAGTGCACTCATGAGTATAGTGGTTTTCCTGGAGCTTGTCAGCAGCCGGAGCCCATGCATGAGTCCTTGTTCCTAGAAGTATGAGAAGGGACTCTGGTCTGGTTGGTGTGGCTTAGTGGACTGAGCCACATGGACTGATAGGTCCTGGTTGGATTCTTGGTCTGGGCACATGCCTGGGTTGTGGGCTTGATCCCCAGTAGGGGGCGTGCAGGAGGCAGCTGATGGATGTTTCTATCTCTCTCTCTCTCTAAAAAAGTCAATAAAAACAAAAAAATATGAGCAGGGATTCTGTCTGCCCTCTTGCTGGGGCATAGACATAGACACCATGTACCAGGCCCCACCTCCCAGTGCCATGGTCTGCAGAGGACAGGGCTTCTATGTGGTCCAGAGCTCAGGACCTATGAGCCTTTTTGGGATGGCCCCACCTGCCTACCATGCCCTCTGGGGTCTTCTTGCCCTGAATTTCCTTCCCACCTGGCTCTGCCTCTTGCCTCATTCTACTGGAGCAGCAGGAGCCTGCAGCTTTATATACGCTGCACAGTTGGTGACTCATTCCTCAGTAGCCCCTTAGATAGGGAAGTGGAACAGCTACACCTGGTGGGGCTTAACTGACCTCTGGGTAACGGGAAGTAGCTATGCAAATGGCCAGGGAGGGAGAAGTCCTCTCTACAGAAAAGCACTTGCCTGGCCTGGCCCCACATGACCTCCCGGGGTGGCTCTGGCAATGTGTCTCACCCCAACTTCCCGCTTTTTCTTCGTGACAGCTGGAAGTAGCAGTGGTCACAACTGAAAGAGCCAAACATTTCTACAGCCCCCAGGACATTCCTGTCACCCTCTACAGTGATGCTGATGAATGGGAGGTCAGTGTTGGGGTCCCCAGGGCTGTGTTCTATCATGTTTCTACCAACAGGACAGGACTGTCCTCCTGCAGCCCATAGTCCTGGTGGCTGGAACAGATAGGCCAGACTCAAGTCAGTGGTTAAGGCCCTCAGGACAGAGGTGACGAGGAAAACTGCTGTCTAGCTTCTGGTCTGTGGGAGGCCTGCAGTCTTCCCACCCCAGGCAGAGCTCAGCTTTGGCCCTGCGCCTGAGGGTGAATGTCCTTGTACTTAGCTGAGCTGATGAAGCCACAGAGGAGCTCTGCTCACCTCACCTTTTTGTCCACATGGCTCCCAGTGTCAGGGTTGTTCAGAGTAGCTCACTTCCCACAGCCAGTGGACTCTGTATCTACTTTCCCTCGGAAGGGTGGGCACTGACTGATTGACCAGACATTGAGTGTGGGCCTCACAGAGGTGCCCTGCCAGGTACTTTTAAATATTCTCAGCTTAGAACATTTCTGATTGGTCCATCTTCCCCAACATCCCTGTCCCCCCCGGCATTTCTCACTGCCCCAGACATTTCTCATTGTCCACTGGCTTGGACAGTCCAAGCATCCACCTCAAGTAGACAGGGCAGGAGTTCCCTGACAGGTGTCAGTTCTCTTGAAAACCAAACCATAAACAGAATAGCTTGGAAAGACAAAGGGCATTTGTTTCCTCAGGGCTGGTTTCTCTTAGGCTGTTTGTTGACTCTGCAGCTAATGCTCTCACCAGCTCAGCTGTGAGAGGGGCTAGCAGTGGATTTGGGGTCACTCAGTTGGTCTTGGTGGGGTTCCTGACTTAGTGTTCTTAGCCTGTGTTGCTTCCTCTGCCCTTCCCCCCCCCCCCCCCCGCAGAGCGGTTGGCCTAGTAACCCCATTTCTTTCTCTCTGCCAGATGTGGAAGTGCCGGTCTGACCCAGTTCTTCACATTGACCTGCGGAGGTGGGCAGACCTTATGCTGGTGGCTCCTCTTGATGCCAACACTCTGGGGAAGGTGGCCAGTGGCATCTGTGACAACTTGCTTGTGAGTGACTCTCTTTGCCTTCCTCCTTCCTGGAGCCTCCCAGTTTGCTGAGCTATAGGCTGCCTTTCTTTGTACAAGGTTCTCACCTTGGAGTCCTTTTATTATGGTCCAGTTTGCTCAGACACTGTCCCTTTGCCCCTTACCCATCTTACCTATGCTCTGGAAAGTGGGCAGAAGGTGTGCTCCTGATGGGTGGACTCAACTTGTGGGTGCTCTCTGAGGCTGTCCGCTTCTCACCTACCCTTTTATGCTCAGCTCCTCTCCCTTTTTCTTTTGTTCATGGGCTGCTGTTCCAACAGTTTCCCTGCCCATTCCCATTGCCTGCCTTCCCACTGGGATCTGGATATCCACATGGCCAAGTGATAAGAGTGTTTACTTCCTCATGGATCTCCCATGCACACTTGTCTCTTTTGTATTTTAGCCACAGGTGGAAGTGCAGTTTTCTTATGTATCATGGGAAGCTTAGAGGGGAAGTGAGAATGACAGGGCGAGAGTGTGAGCTTGTGGATGGTGGAGGAAAGGAATACAAGTTCAGTTGTCCTAAGTGGGGATTAATGGACCAGCAGGGAGCTATTGTCCTTAAAGAGCCTTTGTGTACTTGATCATCCTGGGAAGAGTTAGATATGGTCTCTCTCCTCCCTCTGCCTATTACCCTTCCTTTACTCATTCATTATACCTACCGTGAGCTAGACCCTATGCTGAGGGACACACCGGACACAGGGAGCTCACAGTCTGGAAGGAGAGGGCTTTTGATCACCCATGGAGGTGAGAGTGGAGTATACTCTGGTGTGTAGTCCAGTCTTAAATGCCCCCATTGGTCCTTTGATAATAGCGTCACCATCTTGCACAGTGCTAGGCATATAGTAAATGTTCAATAAATACTTACAGTATGTATGAGGTAATTAGTAATTTTATTTTGGCAAGCAGCCAGGAGTTTTTCAGAGTTTAATATGGTGAAGAAGTGAATAATGAAGCTGGGTCAATATTTTGGGGGGTCAGATAGGTTAGAATCCTTCTATCCTTGTTGATGGTACTTACGATACTTTTGGAAGAATTTACTAGTGATTTAAGTTATTTGAATAAGAACACAGGGTGGCCAGGGCAAGAGCAACATAGATTATGTGGCTAGGAGCAAGGTAGGGGAGTGTGGAGATGGGTGAGCCTCGGGGCAGTGTGATCCATAGGCTTCCCAGTGGGGCTAGTGCCAGGGCTGACAGGGCAGCTGGAGCCCGTGGGCCTCCTGCCATTTTCATTTAATAGGGTCGGAGTTGTATGTGACTAGCACTGTGTCACCAAATCTCCAGGCTTCCCACTTCTTGTCAGCAGCCAGCTGATGTGGTGAAGTACACTAACCTCTAGGAGTTAAGCCCCAGCCTGGGCTGCTGTCTGGGGGCTCCCTCCTTCCTCCCAAAAATTCTGCTTTTCTTTTTTCTTTGAAGCTGCCACTATTCCTTGAAATCTTTGGGGTTCTCTCCTCCTGAGTTCGCTGAACAATAGAAGTATGTTCCCAAGACCAGCCCCCAGATTGTTTTCCTCAAAGGGTTTCACTTGAAGGCAAATGTTTTAAAGAATTACAAATCTTATAATGTTTAAACTGTCACCATCCTTGCTCTGTGGCTCTGTCCTCTCTCAAAAGATGTTTCCTCCTTATGTCCCTGAAAAAAAGCTCACCCTGCTACTTCCCTTCTTCATTCTTTTCCAGTGCCCAGAACTTGTGGTGCTATTAGAGCAGTGTGCTGGATGTGAATTTGTGTACTGGCCTCTGGGCCTTTGACATCTGACTTGCACTCTGGCTTACTCAGTCCTTAGCCCCTTCTTTGTACTAAACAGGAAAGCAGATCCAGAAAGAGAAGGTGACTTCCTTGGGTCACCAGTCTAGCTGGCAGCTGGTCTCCTGACCAGGATCCAGGCCTTTTTTTGCCCATGTAAATTCCCAGGGGCAGATCCTGAGGTGCTGAATACAGCATTGGCCAAACAGAAGTGATGGTGGGAATTAATTTCTCCTTTCATGCCTCTTGCTGCTATAAGGTTTGGAGGAACTATGGTTTATCCAGGAAGCCCTGAGCTTTGAGATGAGGTGGGCAGTGCTAGAGAGGTATGGGATATGGAGGGGTTGGGTTTCCGCTTTGGTCAGCATGCTTTGTTTTGAGAACACATAGAAACCCCAGCCCAGCCCCCACCCCATCCAATACCACATGCAGTCAGGGGGCTTTTCTAGGTATGCTCATGACTTCTGCAGAAGCAGCAGGTGGCACAGGGCCAAGAGGAAGTGTGACTGAAACTGTCCACTCATAGCCTGGTTGCTGAACTGAGAGATCTTGGTGGGAAACAAAGGCTGGTGTCTGGGACCATACAAACAACCAGATCTTGAGGCTGTGTGCTGTCCTACTTCCTTCCTGTCCCCAGGAGAGGACAGGGGCACCGAGAAGGGTGGCATTGGCCCTGGACTCTTCATTTTATTGTTCTCTGACTCCTCTTTCTTTTCCCAGACAGTCTCCACTTCAGGAAAGGGGTGTGTTGCCTTGTCCCTCTGAGGGGAGAAGGTGCCTGGAGTAGTCAGCACAAAGGAGCGTACCCCTGTGGGCCCCATAGCTTATCTCTTCCACAGGCAGCCCTTGGCCTAGGGAGCCTATGCCTGTAATAACAGGAGCTACTGTTTCTGAAGGCTGTACTTTGTGCCAGACCCTATTCAGAGAGCTTTAAGTATTTTCACCCTCAATTCTGACAACTACCCGGTGGCGGTGGTGGTGGGGGGTGCTTTTGCAGGGAGGAAACTGAGATTCTTGGCATTAAATAACTTGTCCATGTTCTCACAACTAGTAATAGTAGATAGCTCAGCCAGGACTTGAACCCAGGTCTATGTTATTTCAAAGCCCATAGCCCTAAGGACTTCCTTTCACAGCTGTTCTATCTGTGACTGGATGGGATGGCCTGGAAATCAGGAGGTGGTGAGGCTGTGAGGTGCGGTGAAGTTTGTGCAAAGCCTCATGCCCTGGATCAATTGCTCACCTCTGGGGAGTGCAGCTTCCTTATCAGTGAAACAGACAGTACCTTACAGGGTTGCAGTGGGGGTTCATGGATCATATATGTGAGAGGGTCTTTGCCATGTGTAAATGTTTTTGTTGTCAGCTTTAGTTTGCCTTGAAGTAGAGCCAATGTCCGGGTATATGGGCCCCACCTACTGAGCTCTCTGGTCCTCGGCTTTGTGGGTAACTGCAGAGCTAGGCTTCTGCTCCAGCATTGCTTCTGTCTGTGAGGTATGGCTAGCTGTGAAGAGAGAAGCCTTGTGCTTGGGCACAGGGAGACCTATCTGTATTGGAGGGGAAGTCTGCTTGGAAGTGGCTGGTAGAGCACTTCCTGAGCCCTGTGCGAGAGCCTATGGGGAGGTGGAGAGGGTCAAGGTGATATGACCTGACCCACTGAGGGACATGAGACAACTCACTGCAGATAGCAGCCTCCATTCATCCCAATCTTGTGGCTGGTTATGGCCCAGATCATGGTGTGTAGGATTTGGAAGGGCTGGGGAGCCATGGAAGGCAGAGCAGCAGGCATTCCCCCTCCCCCCTGCCTTTTTTTTTTTTTTTTTACAGACCTGTGTCATCCGGGCCTGGGACCTCAGAAAGCCCTTGCTCTTCTGCCCAGCAATGAACACCGCCATGTGGGAGCACCCCATTACCTCACAGCAGGTGGGCCAGCTCCAGGCCTTTGGCTATATCGAGATCCCCTGTGTGGCCAAGAAGCTGGTGTGTGGAGACAAAGGTGGGCATCTGGCCAGGCTCACAGCCCATCCTCGTCGCCGAGGGTGAGATCTGGGTTTAGATCCCAGCCTGTTGTGACCTCAGGCAAAACCATTCTCTTCCAAGCTGAGCTTTCTCATCTGGAAGATGGAAATCATAATTCCTTTCCCTCAGAGTTGTTAGGATTAAATGAGATAGTTTATGTAAGGTGCCTGGTATCCCTGGTAGGCAGTCCATGCATAGTTCATGACAGCTATGGTAACTGTTTCTGAGGCCAGTCCCGGGGGGTTTCAGAAGGATATGATGGGTCTGGCTCAGGCAGAAGGTCCTGGTCTTCTCAGGTACTGGGGTCTGGCTGGAGCCCTTGGGGAGTACAGGGTGGGGTGGGAGTGGGGGGTGGTACCCTGCCTCAGTCTGCAGGGCCACAGCTGAATTTTGCTTCCTAGGTCTGGGGGCCATGGCTGAGGTGAGCACCATTGTGGACAAAGTGAAGGAAGTTCTCTCCCAGCATGCTGGCTTTCAGCAGAGTTGAACCTAGGATCTCTCATGTGTGTTTCTCTGCACCCAGTGTGTTTTCAGGCCGAGTCACTGAAGGTGGACATTGGCAAAGTATGGCCTTTGCTGAGTAGGGGTCTAGCCTGGGCCTGCTCCACAATCTTCAAAGGCTTGACTTTCCCCAGGTTAAATGGACCAAAGGCCCAGGTCTCAACTTCTTTCAGCCAGGAAACACCCGCTATCTGGAGCTTCTCCCCACCTTTTCCTGGAATAGGCCCAGCAAGCCAGAGGAACAAGCTGCTATATTGCTCCTGTGCCTCTGGGAGGGGACTGAAGAGTGGCTGACCAGCCTTGATTCTGCATGGTGCCCAGGATCCGCTTTTAGAAACTGCCTCAGCTTGAGATCCCAGTGTGGTGGACGCCTGGCCAGGCCTTTGGAGCTTCAGCTGCTGTGCAGAGTAAAGAAAGCCTGCAAGTTGGCAAGACCCTGAAATTTCCCACAGACCATGCTGTAAGATTGGGTATACTGGGGAATAAAGTAAAGTGGCCTTTTGAGAGACTTTGTCTTTCTTTCACAGCCTGTCTGTGGTCTCAGAGATCAGGGGGTTGCTAGGTGTGGGTAGGGAAGGGTTTGGGCTGACTACTGACTGGTGCTTCTTATTTTGTAGTGTTTGTTTTTTGTTTTTTATCCTCACCCAAGGATATTTTTCTACCTATCTTCAGGTAGAGACGGGGAGAAAGAGAGAAACATCGAAGTGAGAGAGACACACCAACTGGTTGCCTCCTGCACGACCCTGACCAGGGCCAGGGATGAACCGCAATCGAGGAACGTACCCTTGGCCAGAATCGAACTGGGGACTCATTGGTCTGTGGGCCGATGCTCTACCACTGAGCCAAACTGGCCAGGGCCTGACTGGTGCTTCTTAGGCCCCATGTCACATGGCAGTTAAGGGCAAAAGGGCTCTGAAGCAAGACGTCCCCTAATGTAAATCCCAGCTCTGCCACATGCTAGCAGTGGGCTGGTTTAGGGCTCAGCCTTTCTGACCCTCACTTTCCTCGTCTGTATTACCTTACCCTCATAGAGTTATTGAGAGGATCAAATGAGATAATTTGTGCAGAATAAGCACTCCATGGAGTGCCTCCAAAATAGTAAATATCACATAAATGGAAGTTAAAGCTACATATGTATACATATCAATGAGCATTCCTAACACTTACTGAAATAGACTGTCAATTTGGGAAAAATAAAATCCTGACCCTAAGATGACATGACCCTTTATGCAAGTGATAGGCACATAGCCAGCAGGGTTGTAACCTGCTCTGGCACTCAGGCCCCTTGCTTCCTGGTGTCCTCAGTTTTATTTTTCTTAATCCACACCTGAGGACACATTTATTGATTTTAGAAAGAGGAAGGGACGCATAGAGGGAGAGAGAGAGAGAAACATCTGTATGAAAGATAAACATTAGTTGGTTGCCTCTCATATGCACCCCGACCAGGGACTGAACCCCCAACTCAGGCATGTGCCCTGAGAGTTGAACATACGATCTTTCAGTGCACAGGACGCTGCTCCAACCAACAGCCACACCAGCCAGGGCCTGGTGTCCTCAGTTTTGCTGCACATGACGTGGGGATCTGAGGGTCTGTGCCTTCTCTGCCCACCCACCACCGCCACATGGATGGGGCAGGCTTCAGACACATGCTCAGACTTAGAAACTCTCTCTTGCCTTTGACCTAATTGCTGTTTGGTGGCTACACTGGAGAGGTGCTTGTTTGCCTATTTGGAGGTGAGATTAGGGCTGGCTTCCTGCCTTCCTGCCTTCCTACTTTCTAGGCCAGGGGTGAGTGGGACCATGTATACTCTTAGACCACAGAAAGTAGAGGTGCCTTCAAGGGGCGCCAGGAAGCCTGCTGGCTGGAACCAAGGTCTCCAGCAGCCTCCCAGAGCCTTTATTTCTATAGCTCTTGACTTAACCAAGTGACCCTTTGGGATAAAACTGCCTTATGGCACTAAAGAAAATATAACTAAAATGGCAGCATCAAGAACCAGCCTCTTTGGCTGGTTTGGAGGTTGGGGCCATGGGTAGGGCCTGGATAACTGAAATTCAGAGACAAAAGTTCCACTTAAATGGTTTCCTTCATCCCTCCTTCTATGCACAAGGCCCTTTCTTTCCCTTAGCACTCTGCTAATGTCCATTTTTAAAAAGGAACTGCTGCCATTTACTGGGTGCTTATTGTGGGCCAGGCTCCGTGCTAGACATTTTTGGGAAGACTTGCCCAGGAGTCCTGCTACAAAATACCTGTTTTAATGAAAAGTCACAGGAGCAGAGAAGTTTGTAGGCCTTTGCCTCATAGCTCTGAAAACAGCTGTGGCTACTTAGAGCAGATTGAGCCTTGTTAGCTGGATGGAAAGAAATGTTCCTTGGATGTGGGCCAGCTGGAGCCCCCATACCTTGAGGTCTTTCACTGCATTGTGTCGGTCCTGCTTATTTAGCATGGGTGTCTGAAAGGAATTGGCTAGAGCTGAAGAGCCCAGTTGTTCCCTGAGCTATTCCTAGTGCCTGAGCTGCATTAACCTGACCCCATCTGCCAGAGGGGTGCTGAGGTGGGAGTGATTAGCGTGGCTTCCCCACTAAGAGTTGAAAGCTCTTGAAGTTGTCATCAGTGGGCAAAAATGTTTCTTAGAGAAGGTACTAGCTTCCCTGATGATTTTTATAGAACTCTGGAAGTTTGACAGGATGGAACATTTGGGTCTGAAGTTTGTACTCTTTGTTTGGCAGCCTGAAGCCTCTGTAGGCTGTCAGGGCTGCTGCTGAAGCCTCTGAGCCAGGGCCCAGTCTCCACACTGGGCTATCAGTTCTTCCTCCATACAGATGATGTGTTCCTCTGCTGCTTCCCCACTGCCTGCGAGTAAGGCTCTGACTCCTGGGCAGGACATACTTACTTCTCTGGCCCATACCTGCCTTTCTAGTTATACCCTTTACAACACACCAACCCTACAGAGCTCTCTGTCCTTTTGCCAGATTGGACAACCTTGACAGTGTCCTGCTGCTTGTCTTTGCACATGCTCCTGCTTTTAGTGGCAGGCCATTCTTCTGGCTGACTGCCACTCTTGCCTCTGATGTGCCTGGGTGCTACCTACTTGGGAAAGCTTTCCCTGGCCGACTCAGGCTTGTGCCCATTGTGCTCCCTCTCATTTATAACAGAATTGCAATAGTGAGTTTACTTTCTGTCCACCTAAGATTGGGATTTACTGGAGGTGAGAGTTGTCCTAGTCCTCAAAATCTGGTAAGTCATTCCAAGCTTCTTGTACTAACAAAATAAAAAAAAGGTGTGTGGGGTAGAAGGGTGGAGGGGGGTGGGGTGATGGTCCTGCTCCTTTCTGAGCAAGACACACATAACCTAGGAGCCATAAAAACAAAGACTGATAAATTGGACCACAGAAAAATAATTCCGCCTAGCAAAAGCCCAAAGGCAAACAACAAACTGGGGACATTATCTGTAGCTCATAGAACAAAGATCTAACTCCCTTAATATGTAAAGAGCTTCTATACATTGATTAGAAAAGGACCAGGAACACAAAAGAAAAGTGGCCAGAGGATAAAAACTGAGTATATACTAACACACACATGTACCTTTAAACATAAAAAAGCTACTCAACTACATTGGTGAAGAAGGTGGTGCAAGTTAAACTATATTGAAATAAAAGTTTTCACCTATTAGCAAGAGTGTTGCTCTTTGAAGAGCAATGTAAAAATATCTTTTAAAATCACATATATACCTTCCCAGCGAGACTCACATATATGACACATCTCAACCAGGTTATTCACTGCAGCATTGTTGATGGTAGTAAAAGACTAGAAACACCCTCACTATATAACAGCTGGAGATAGCTTAAATATATTAGGGTCATTCCTACATGGCCACAATGCAAAGTGTGGGGAAGCTCCCCAGGTGCTAGTATTGGATGATGTTTGAGATACATTGCAAGATACAAAACAATGTGTATTGCATGCTAGCTGTGTATGAAAAAGTGAGGGAGAAAAGGAGAATATGTTCATCTTGGCTTATGTGCACGTCAAATACCTATTGAAAAATAAACAAGAAACCAGCCATTGTTTGCCGCTTAGCAGGGGAGCTGGGTAGTTGACAAAAGTCAGAGGCTGACTTCATTTTAAGTTTTGAGCTAGCTAATAAATTATTTACCACAAAAGCAATTAAATACATGTATTTGTAAAAGGGTTTCTTTTGCCCTTTATTCAGACATTTTAAAAAATGACTTAGCAGGGAGTTAATACAAAAGACATCTGGAGATTTCCATCAAGGCCTTTTGATTAGACACAGGTCTGTTTTTCTTGTCATGAGTTAACAGAGGAAGATGGCTTTTGAGGACCCCTGCATACTTCTCATAAAGCCTTTGAGGTCCCTTGCCTAACCTGTGTGGCTCAGTGGATTGAATTTTGTCCCATGGACTGAGAGGTCCCTGGTTCAATTTGCAGCGGTCAGGGCACTTGCTCAGGTTTTGGGCTTGATTCCCAGTAGTGGGTGTGCAGGAGGCAGCCGATAGATGTTTCTCCCTCACATCTTTGTTTCCATCTCTCGTTCCTTTTCTCTCAAAAAATGACAACAACAACAACAAACATTTAAAAAAAAGAAAAAAGAAAAGATTTCAAAGAGCTTATGGGAAAAAGATTCAAGGTTTGGAAATAATCACATGAGTGAAAATCAAAAGAGATTGTATGGTACAAAATTTAAGTATTGTGGTTCAGAATTGAGAGGTAGTCAGTGTGGCCTTTTGGAGGTGTCAGAACTCAGGTGGGTGCTTCCTGGTGGACCAGTGCTGCTAAAGCAGATAGGAAGGGTGCAGATGTGTTGCCACGATGTGGGTGCCCAAGTGCAAACCTGAACTCCATGTACAAGGGAAGCACAATGCTAGCTGAGTGTGGTAAAGATCAGCTTTGAGGTTTGTGGGACAGGTTGGAAATTTGAAAAGCTGGAATCAGTGAGGAAGCCAGACACTAAGCCAGGATGCCAGGCTGTGCTAAGACCTTGGCCACACCCATGGGTTTGGAGAGGGAGGGGGTGCAAAAGTGAGTGACAATATGAAGGAAAATTAGCATGATTAGAAAATGTAAAAACCAGTTTTTTGTTTGTTTGTTTGTTTGTTCAGATAGAGTGGAAGGGAGAGAGAGAGAAAGAAACATCGACATGAAAGGGACACATTGAATGGCTGCCACCCACACAATCCAACCAGGGCCAGGGACAAACTGCAACCGAGGTACGTGCCCTTAGCGGGAACTGAACCCGGGTCTTTCTGGACCACAGGCCGACGCTCTAACCGCTGAGCCAAACCAGCCAGGGCTAAAAACCAGTTCTTGTGGCTAGTGGAGGAAGGGACTTCATGATAATTGTGTATGTGTTGGGCAAGATGATTAAGAGTCCCTGATGCCACCCACTAAAAAGAATTGTGCTTTTTGTAGTATAGAATTAGAAAAAGCCGATTGAGGTACAGAACCAAGAAGGGAGGAAGATAAAGGAAAGGAGC